ATTTTGTTGTCTCTCAATTTTCAAATATGAAGACGTTAATTTTCTCTTTGTTGGCAGTATTTTTTCTTATATTATCATCAAGTAATGGTAATGTATAATTAACATTTTCTTGCAATAATATATTCTTTTTATACATTCGCTTGTGAATTATCATACAATTATGAAGATATTAAAACTTTTATTTTTCATGTTTCTAATTCATCATTTTGGTATAGGAGAGGCAGACATATGTGATGGACCCATATCTGATATTTCGAATTGCTCAAAGAAAAAGTGTTTGGATTATTGCAGTGACCACCATGGACTGTTCATTGCGAGTTGCATTGACAAACACACTTGTTGTTGCACGATACCTGAGAAAATAGAGGGATAGTCATTTGAAAGTTGGAAATTGTGTTTTAATGGGATAATATAATTGTTCAAATAAATAGAACTTTTTGGATTTGTCTCTTCTTAGATTATGGAGATGAATAAGGTTCTACTGAATAAAAATTTTGAATTTCAATTAAAAAAGATATTTTTTTTCAACACTTGTACTTTAAGTCAATAGGATTTTCCTCTTTGAGGATATATGTCAAATTAAATAAGTTAAAATAGTGTAAAATTTCCTTTTTCATCTTTTAAAAGGATCATTATTATAAAAAATATATATTAAAATTATTAACGACTTTAATATATATGTATTTTCTTAAAATTGACAAAAAAAAAAAAGAGAGTTTTATTTATGAGGATTACGAATGATATTCTATCCATAACAAAAGTTCTTAACTTTTATTCACAAAGGGGGGGGGTGGTTCCTAAATGTCTAAAAACAAAGTAGTTGCCTCTTCAAACAAAACCAAAACCAAATCCAAACAAAGCATGACCACCCCCAACAGAAAATATAAAACTAACTGGCCGATTTACACTCTACTAAAAAAACTTAATTAAAGGCTTCCTAGGGGGACTTTTAGCCATCTGCCTTAAGGTAGTTCATTTTTTTTTTCTCATTTTTTTTAAAATTATAAATGTCCTAAAATTATTATTCCTTGTAAAGGGAAAAATAGAAAAAAAAAATCAATTAAATAAGCAAAAGTGTAAACTAAAATGATGTCACCAAAAGTAAAATGAACATAAGGTAAAGTATGAACTAATCACTTTTTTTAAGATCGTTTTGTGCCTCTATTACAATAGTTTTTATGATTATGTCATCTCCAAAGATACAATTCTCAACCTTTCTTTATTGTGTTTTTACCACCTATCCTTGTCTAGGAGAGATTTTAAGAGAACAAGGTACCATAAAAAAGAACAAGAGACAAATGACATATTGATTTAAATGGAAAGAGTTTTGTTCTCTTTAAGTAAAATTTCGAGTTTTAGTTTTATGAATGAAAAATAAGTGTTTGGAGAGCTTCCCTTTATGGTGGTCTGACGTGACTCGATTTTAAATTAATCCGGATCTAATGTGATTTTTAGATACCAAGGAATTAGTAAAAAGATAAAATAAAAGGAATAAGAGTGCCGAGAATATTAATTTGCAACGGCTAAAAGATTCAATAGTTTATATGAAACGGACGTACAGTTAAAGAATTTGATCAGAAACTGAAACTAAAACTGATACAATAAAATATGCCTTTCTAATGCTTTTCCTTTCTTTTTTTTATTAAGATCTACAACGGAAATCTCATGAAATGGATTTTAGTTGCTCACATTGTTATGTTTAAAATGTAACGTAACATTGTAAATTTGTAATTATGATTGATATTAAATAAAGACCAAAGCCCCTATTTACCCCTACATATTTTTTCCTTTCACGGTTAACACTCTAAATTAATTTTCGTTTCAATTAACACCTTCCACTATTCAAAACTCATGAAAAACCCAAAAATTTATGGTTAAACCTTCTATTTGCACATTGATTTTGTTGTCAAACCCCTATTTACCCCATGATTTGGTTGGTAATTTGGGGTTTTTCATGAGTTTTAAATTATGGAAAGTGTTGATTATGATGAAAATTAATTTAGAGTGTTTATTGTAGAAAGAAAAAATGTGTAAGGTACAAAGAGAGGTTCGGCCTTAAGTAAATATGAGATGATATTAAATAAATGGATATATACAATATCATAAACAAACTACTAAATAAAACAAGTCAATTATATAATATCATAGCATATTGTACACTTACAATACTACATAACAGTGTAAATATAGCATTTTTGTTTATTTTATTTTATTTTATTTTTTTTATAAGGGCAATGATTAGTAGATTAGTATTGTTAGATATTAGCAACTGGAAATTTGATTCCCAAATTTGGTGAACAACCCACCGACCTCAATGAGACGCGCAACCATCAGGCCGCTTGGTGGAGTTCGTAGCATTTTTGTTTAGTTGGACATCTAATTCAGTATTGATTATTATTTCTTTGGCAAAAACTCTTCTTAAGTCGCTAGACTTGCCCCAAATTACCATTTAAGCCCATAAACTAAAAATGATGTAACTAAGCCCTTCAACTCCTCAATTGGTGCAAATAAGCCCTTATCACTAACAGCCCAAATAGCTATGATCTACCGTGCACTGAATTTGTTTATTCTTCCCCTTCCACTATTCTACATAGATGTAAATAGTGATGTAGCACTATTCCATGTATATGTAGGTGAATTTTTTTTATTATGTTTGTTTTGGTAATTTTTCATTATGTATTTAAACAAAAATTAGAGTTTAATCTATAACATTTAATAGAGTTTTGTTATATATATATGTTAAAAAATACCATGAATTATGAACTCTAGGTTCTCTATCTTTTTTCATAATGCATGAATCATAAACAATGCATGTGTTATCTTCAACTTTTGTTAATGAAAATGAGATATGTAATTATTTTACAATTAAACTCTAAGTTATGGTATATTTAAAAAAAGCTCTATTAGAAAAGTAGGACTAAAATACTAATGACCTAAGAGTTTGAGTGAAAAAAAGTTTAGTTTTGCTTCAATAAGATATTGAGTTCGAATCTTATAAATAAAAAAATAGGCATTAGAAGAGTTTCATCTTATGAGATCTGATTCGATTCGATTTCAAATTAATCATTGTAGAGAAAAGTACAAAAAAAAAAGGGACAAAATTAAAAATACAAGCTTTTTAAACTGAAAACTACTTAAAGTGCAACACAACAATATAGGTATCAACACTTCTGCTTCAAGTTTAATAGAAACGTATAGTTGGAGGGCAAAAATGCAAATTAACCCCTCAACTTTATGGGCGGTGACAGATTACCCCCTCAAGTCAATTCACATGCAAATTAACCCTTCAACTAGTTGTTGAGGCAAAAAAACCCCCATTGGATGATTGACATAAGCAATCCATCCAAAATTGAGGAATGATTTGTATTAATTTGCTAAGATCCACCACTATGGTCGTTGGAATGTTCTATATTAACATCCAATCCCTTAGACTAAACTAACTGGCAGATGCATAGCTAGGGATTGCAGTTGTGGCCTTTAGACCACTTAATGTTCCACATCAACCTAACATACACAATCAAACTTTCAATCAAAAGCAAAATAAATTTACTCATTTATTCCCTTTATTTTATCAACAAATTTACTAATTTCGTTTGGGTTAAGTTAGTTGGGGTTTTGAACCCATCAATGCCTTGAAAATCCTCATCTCCTTTCCCTAAAAATTGTAAATTGTTAAAAAAAAAAAAAACAAATTTACTAATTTATTCAATCAAAAAATTGAATAACATAAAAAATTGTAAAGATAAACACTGGACCAATAACACTAATTTGAAGAAAAAGCAAAAAGATTTGAATTTTGAAGCAAACATCATTGCTCTCTTCAATGATTCAATTAGAACCCATTTGCCGTCTAGCCCTATGACAATGCCTTTCTATGTTGGTTGAGTTTTCATCCCTCCTCACCTCATCAACTATAGAGTAACCACAATGAAGATCATCTCATCTCTTTCTAATACCTCAATGTTGGTTTGAGATCCAAGTTTGTCAATCCCAACAAACACATCACCATGGTTTATTATGAAGTCTTTTAGCCCTTCTTCTACTCTTATGCCCAGTCCTCTAGCACCACCATATCACTACCGTTGTCACCTATCTCTTGGTCCCCTTATCACCTCAAATCTAAAAGTTGCACCAATCTTGGAGAGGAGAAAGAAAGAAGGGGAAATGAGAATGGCAATCATGAGAAAGAGGGAAAAAAAATGCATTTACCATATCATCAAATAATAATAGCCACCTAAGCTTCAACAAGTCAAAAAAAAAAAAAAAAAATCCAACTCTTTGCCCATATCACCCGTGGATCCCACCAAGAAGTAGCTCATCGTTAGTTTGGACGGATTGCTTATGTCATCTTACAAATAAGGGGTGTTTTGCCACTAACTATGAGTTGAAGGGTTAATTTGTGTGTGAATTGACTTGAGGGTGTAAGCTGCCACTGCACAAAAACTTGACGGGTTAATTTGCATGTTTTGCCTAGTTGGAGGGCCTATTTGCACCGGTCAAGGAGTTAGAGGGCTTATTTGCATCATTTTTAGTTTAAGAATCTAAATGATAATTTAGGATAAGTTTAAGGGCTTAAGAAGGGTTTTTGCCTATTTCTTTTAAAAATAAAATTTAATGCTATTTAAGATAACTAATAACTAATTAATATACCATCATAATGTTGTTTTAAAATAGAATGTAAAGATAATGTACCAAAGAACAAATTACAGATTTATTATTTATATTTTAAAAAATCAGATCATAGTATTAGTATAAAAGGGATGATTCAAGGTGAAACACAAGACAACTATTTTTTTTATAATATCAAAAAAGCATTCTATTGTCTTTTAATTTTCAGATATGAAGATGTCAATCCTCTCTCTGTTGGCAGTGTTTTTTTTAATACTATCATCATGTAATGGTAATGTATAATTTGCATTTCCTTGCAGTAATATATTAATTTTTTTTGTACATTAACTTGCAAATTATCATGAAATTATAAAGACGTTAATTTTTTTTTTCTTTTTTTCATGTTCTAATTCATTTTGGTATAGGAGAGGTAGAGGATTGTGATGGTAATGGACGTATAGTTGATATTTCAAATTGCACAAAGGAGAAGTGTGTGGATGAATGCTTTAACCTCTATAAACCGAAGGTCGTTGGGAACTGCATTGACAATAACAGGTGTTGTTGCAAGAGGCTGGAGAAAATGGAGTGATTGTCATTTGAAAGTTGGAAATCCTATTATCATAGGAAAATAAGGGTGTTTAATAAAGTTTAAAAAATAATTTTTTATAAATTCAAAATTTTGTTTGAAAAAATTATAAAAATTAATTTTTAAAGTTTTTTTTTT